GACACACTGACTGGATAGCATGACCGCTCTACCCTAAAACTACCCACTTTCCACACTGAGCTGAGGCAGCGCCTAGCTTCTAACTCCCTTTGGTTACGTCAGAGGTTCAGATTTAGAAAAAAGAGCCTTTTTAGACACTTTGCTGAGAAAGGTCACTTTTTACTAGAAAAACTCAGCAGTTGTGTATTTTAAAACGAAATATCCACACTAAGCATTTCAAATAGTATTTTTTGGAAAAAAAATCATGTTATTTGCCCTTTAACTGATTTTTCTGTTAAAGCTAACATTTTTTTTACTTCTTCCATCAGACACTTTTCATACTTTACTTTGTAATTGATCAAAGTTCATTCAGCTGCTTTAGAAATCACAAATTCAACATTTTTTTCTTTTGATTTTGTAAACAGAATCAGCTGAGATGATAAACTGGAGCGATGCAGAACTCCGGGACCTTCTTTTCAGAGATCAGATCTCCAGAGACTGCACATGGACTGTGGAGGACAGACGCCTTTAGGAGTGGCTTGTTAAAAAACTTGATAAGCGCTGCTTCCATTGCAAGAAAAAACTTGTTCTGTCCAAGTTAAACAGAAGTCTGCGGCAGAGCAGAGATCACCCCCATACCCCCTTTATGTCACCATCGCGTATTTTTGTAAAAAGAACACAGTTGCGCCACATCACCGCCATGGTCTGACCACTTATAAATGACCTAAGGCTCCCTGATGCCGCCACAGTGTTGCGGCAAATTGGCAGCATTGTTTTCTAAAAGAGCTTATAAAAGTTACACAGAAGAGCAATAGGAGTGGTGGGCAGAAAACACTAGAATTTGGAGATTTGGAACTGTCTCTCTGACATATCAAAATGGATGAAATCCAACCATCTCCAACTCAACCTCTCTAAAACTGAACTACTTGTCATCCCAGCAAAACCATCCATACAGCACAATATCTCAATCCAAAATGACTTCATATCTCTGGCTCCTTCAAAGGCAGTTCGAAATCTGGGTGTTGTGATTGATGAACATCTGACCTTTAAGATCATGTTGCCTCTGTTGCTCGTTCATGCCGCTTTGCGCTGTATAACATACGAAAGATCAGATCATACCTAACACAACATGCCACCCAGCTCTTGGGGCAATCTACTGTCATCTCCTGCCTCGATTACTGCAATGCCCTTCTAACTGGTCTTCCAGTCAGTACTGTGAGACCTCTTCAAATGGTCCAGAACGCAGTGCCGCGTCTGGTCTTCAATCAGCCAAAAAGAGCACACGTCACCCCTCTGTTCATTGAGCTCCACTGGCTACCGCTAGCAGCACGCATCAAATTCTAATTGCTAACACTAGCATACAAAGTCTGAGATGGTTCGGCTCCCATCTACCTGAATCCTCTTGCAAAGGCTTGCGTCTCGACCCGGCCGCTCCGGTAATCGCAGGATCGTCGGCTAGCAGTGCCTACACCACGCTCAGGACAATCCAGACTCTTCTCATCGTTCCACAAACGTGGAATGACCTTCCAAGCACTACCAGAACTGCGGCTTCCTTTTCAATTTCAAGAAACTCCTGAAGACCCTGCTCTTCCGAGAGCATCTTCTTAACTAGCACCTTGCCTGCACCCGTCCCCCCTCTCTACTGTCCACTCCTTGTTCCCTACTCTCCATGACTGATGTCAATGTTGTTGTTGTTATTGTTGTTGTTATCCTCAAGAGCAATATGCCGATTATCACTTGTAAGTCGCTTTGGACAAAAGTGTCTACTAAATACATAAACATAAACATAAACATAGAAGCAGTGAAGATGGTCGTGGGCTTTTTCATCACCGACTCCACCTCTATCTGTTTCAATTGACCAAATCTACCAAACTATTAATGTCTACTCGCAATGTGAATACTTCTTTAACCCCCACTGAACTCCACCAAGGTCATAGGAAGTATATGCTTACACTGGCATTGCATCAAACTGGCCCTATTAAATGTGATTTAAGGCAGGGGAGGGGCTGAGGCGGCAGGACTGTGGCAGCTATAGCAGGGATCTTGTGTAAACAGTCTACATAAGGGCATTATTTTCTAAATCCTACTTACTGAAGGCTTTAAGGTAACATTGAACAGAATTATAGCAAAGTCAAATTTGTGTTTTTATGGGAGCGATTCAAAAGTTTACAGGCAGATTCTTTGTCCAAAAACCACGTATTACAAAGACAAGAGTGGGTGAACACATCAGGAGCCCTGTAAATGCTCTAGTAATCACAGTGAAAGAGTGAAAGGACCGTTGGCAAACCCATGTGGAGACAGGGTGCAAACAGTGTTTATCAAGTGAATGTGCATATTGCGTGTTTAGAAAAAGACTGATCAATATTAGTTTGCCTGAATATTATAGGCATCAGGATCCTTTGCCTTTCATACAATACAATGAAAAAGTTTGTCCACAAATCATGATTGAGTTAAAACATGTAACATTTAAAGACAAATGGAGAAATCATGAAGCAAAAAATTAGTTGAAAGCACTCATTTATTCTTTATTTCAATGCATTTTCAATGGTTTTTAGTAGGAATTAATGCCTTGTCACTCATTCTCTATGGAAAAACGTCTTTGGTGCTCCTGCTTCAGGAAGTAGCAGTTAGCCAGAGGAGTGGTGGGCAGAAAACACTAGAATTTGGAGACTTGGAGACATCAGTATTTATGACATGTGGACATCTTGCCTCTGACTGGATAACAGCAGCACGACTCTTCGGTTGACTTTGTTTGCTTTGAAACGTTGATATTTTATTCCCCCAAATAACAACCCTGAAGTAGTTCTGCCATGTTGTGGAGTTGTTAATGCTAATGGTTAGCTTCTGCTACCTAAGAAATACTCTACTCTCTCCTGGATGTTAAATCAACAACAGCCTTCCCCTTTGTGAGCCAAGATGGGTGAGTAAATGAATGCAAATTTAGAGTGTGATGTAGATCTGTGTGACTTTTTCCGACCCAGTCATTTCCCCGTCTATGTTCTTTCAGCGACTAATGCAAGGAATGGGGTAGAAGACTATTTTGATGTTCAGAATGCATATGAAACTCAGGGTGACCAATCGTATTTCAAAAAGAACCAGTAAAAAAATGGGTTCTTGGTGAACCTGCTCTTTAATTACAGAGGTTACCACATTTCCAAACTCTGTTTGTGGACTATGCAACATTTACAAGGTGCTTTACTTAAGAATTTGCTTTTTTTTGCCATGATGCTCAGCTGATTCTGCAAAATATGATTGTGCATAAACATAGATCAATGCTTCTCTTAACTGTTGTACCAAATGGGAACAATTGCAGCTTCACAACAATGTTATGTCTTCCCTCTAATACTTTTCTCCCTCTACACCAGAGACTATGTCCATGGACCAGTTGCTCAACTCCTGAAGTTTGCAGAAGACATCACCATCATCAGTCACATCCAAGGCGATGGGGAATTTGCATATTGACTGGCTGGTGCTCTGGTGAAGACAGATTAAACTAGGGCTGAACACACACAATGTGGAGATGAAAGTAGACTTCAGGAGACAACCCTCAACACAGCTGCCCATTAGAATAGAATAGAATAGAATAGAATAGAATAGAATAGAATAGACTTTATTGATCCCAATTTCCCAGTGGGGAAATTCACTTGTTACTCACTATTGCATTGGTGTTATTGTGTAACATGATAAGACCAGTACAGCTTAAACTGATGAGTTATACACTCTTACTGCAGAGGGGAGGAAAGACCTACAGTAGCATTCTGTTTTACATCTGGGATGTCTCAGTCTGCCTTTGAAGGAGCTGTCCATGGTCTCCACAGTGGAATGCAGTGGTGGGATGTTTTTTTTTTTTTTTAAGATGGTGTTCATCTTCCCCAGCATCCTCCATTCACACATCTCCTCAACTGAATCTAGTGGGCAGCTCAGAACCGAGCTAGCTTTGTGAACTAGCTTGTTCAGTCTCTTCCTGTCTCCGTCAGAGCTCCCTACACCCCAACAGATCACAGCAGAGTGGTCATATGCAGCATATCTTACCCAGCTGCCCTGTTTTACCTGTGAAGACTTTAAGGTCCTTACTGATGGAACCTAAAAAGGGAGAGCAACATGATCTGCTAAAGGAGTCTTGGTTTGAGACATGTGCTTTGTTATCACACGTATTATTGCAACTAACAAGGATAATAGAAGAAAACCCGATATGCTACTTAACTAATTAGACACTCTGCCTGTCTTGCTAAAGTACAAATTGTGTAATTTTTGTTTAAAACTGTTCTGTTTGACAGCTGCCAACAGCAAGAGACAAAATTTGTGTTTTTGACACACTTGGCCAACAAATATGTTTCTAATTCCTGATTCTGAGGTCAAATGATGTGAAAAATAACCAAGTGTATGTTTAACAAGTCAGAGAAATATGAAAAAGTCTCCACAAACAAAATGATTGCTTGACTTTTAAAGGAGAAAATGTAAAAGCTAGAAGCATTCCAGAGGAATCAAATCATGTTCCTTTGTTCTTAAACACATATCTGTAGGGTTTGTGAATGAGACCTCTGTTATAGAGGGAGAGTCCTGTGATCTGACTGTACTGAAAACCTCAGAACACCATTGTGCTGTTAACATGAGCTATGGTGTCTTGTACAAACATAGTGATAAGTTCTCCATTTTAAAATTTGTTTATTTTAATATCAGTCAGTGTGTTTCATTTGATGGAATGGAAGAGACCAAAAGTCCAAACAGACATGTATAGGCGTTTTGACACAAATCTGACTGACTTGAATGGAAGATTATTTGGGATCGTAGCTCAGTGACTGTGTGTACACCGTAGGCTTTTTTTTTCTGGGTTACAGAGACAATGAGCAATGTAAGTGTGGTTCTCTACACACAGTGTACCTCTACACAGACCATCAACTTGTACACAACTGGATCACACTTGAAAAGAACAGATATGACAATATAGCTTTAAAACAGCACGGCATGGTGGCTCAGCTGGTAGCACTTTTGCCTCACATCTAGAAGAGCACACGTTTGAATTCAATTCAATTCAATTTTATTTATGTAGTGCCAAATCATGACAAGAGTTATCTCAAGGCACTTCACATAATAAACATTCCAATCCAGGTCAGTTCATTAAGCCCATCAGAAATAAATGTTTCCTATATAAGGAACCCAGCAAATTGCATCAAGTCACTGACTAGTGTCAGTGCCTTTATAGCAATCCTCATACTAAGCAAGCATTTAGCAACAGTGGAGAGGAAAACTCCCTTTTAACAGGAAGAAAACTCCAGAGGATCCTGGCTCAGTATAAGCAGCCATCCTCCACGACTCACTGGGGATTGAGTAGACAGAGCAGACACACACACACACACACACACACACACACACACACACACACACACACACACACACACACACACACACACACACACACACACACACACACACACACACACACACACACACACACACACACACTTCTATGCACATATATATATAGCTCATGGACCTATACACTGAAAATCAATTTTGCTCGCTCTTTGTCATGCTTGTCCAGATGATGGCCCGCCTTCCTTTGTGTGAAGAGCCAATCCAGTCCATTGTTGTTGCCTTGGATGTGTGAGTGAAGTTAGCTAAATGGGTTAGAAAGACAGCAAAGAACAGAAGCTCAGAGCTTAAAGCAAATCCCAGCATCAGAAGTCACCCCATCATAATTTTTATGTAACAAGTCCTCTTTAGTTTTGGGGTTCTGCCAAAAATTTAGACCTAAATCTTGTTTCTGCTATTATGAATGTGTGTGAAAATCTGTCCAGAGAGCTCATGTGTTCTTTCTGTCAATGGGAATACGTCTTTAAAGGCAACTTTTCCCAACTCAGGACATTCTAGTGTTAAAGACAAATGTTTTAAAGATGATAAATTACAAGGAGAGTAAGGGATGAACCTAGAATGGGAGACGAGAGGGTTGGACACCCAGCATGGGGAACCTTTTGCTTCAGTGCTGTCAGTCAAAAATGCACCCCACCACCACCCACAGGCACACATGTGCGTCCATGCCTGTTCTTTTCTCTCCGAGCCCACTTGCACCTGGAAGAATCCAAGCTACCCCCAAAAAAGGCACACAATCCCCATAGGCATGTGTGTGTACGTGAGAGAGAAAGGAAACCCAGATGTTTCTTTACCCTTGCTTCTCTCTCTCTCGACTTGCCTGGTGGGGTGTCTGATGGCCGTGGACGTGTTCACTCTGTTGTGACTAGTACCAGATGTGCTCCATTGACCCAAATCACCTAGGCTGTAGACATGCCACATAGTCCCGATTCTTCAAGACCCACCGCACAATCAAACACACCTGTTTCCATTCATGAGCAATGCTGGGAGAGGTGCATCTTGGGAAATGCTGTCAGCTCTTTTCTTTTTTTTTTATTTATTTTTGTTGCTCATGTCCTTGTCATTCTTCTTATTTTGTTGTCATTCCCTTCTCCTTCTTCATCAGCGGGGTAAACTGTGTATAAGAGAGATTTCAAGGTTTTGAAACGACAGACCCAGCGAGATTGTGGACAGATATTAATTTAATTCAAAGACAAAAAGACTCTGTACTTCGTAACCAGATATTCGGGGAGGACGTCTGTCTGATTTGGGAGTTTGTTTCATGTTACTGATTCAGAATTAGCTTAAATAAATACACCTGCATGACCCCAGAGTACTCCAAAGGTCAAAGTCATTCAAACATTTAAAGAATGGTAATTAAATTACCCTTGGTGCTGAATAACTTTAATTTGGTAGCTACACAAATTGCTTCCAGCTTTCTGTCTCCTACAAAGCTCCCCCTTCAGCTTCGTTTTAATATTTTATCAAGCAGGACTTGTAGCAACAAACAGCCACTCACTTTCCAAACCTAAAGCAATCACAGCTAATTCTGACCGTTTGCAGAAGCTGATGTGTTCTGATGTTTTTGCTGTGGTGAAGCAAAGAGAGCAGAAGCATCAAGAAGAGGAATTTTACAGCTGAAGCTAACATCTAAGCTACTCAACGCAGAACAGCCTTTCGCATTCTGCTAGCCTGATTTATGAAGTGAAATAAAAATGGGTCCCTACATAGAATTAGTGGGTTTTTCAGAAGGGGTGAAGAGGGACCTAGGGCCCATATTTCAGCTGCCTCGCAGCAAGGTTTTTGCTCAGCTGGGGCCCCTTAATACAGTTCAACCGAGGTCCAAGTGGAGGCAGCCACGGTGCTCTACAATAACTCTTCATTTTGATCCTGGCCTATTGCCAGCACATCTACTACCTGAGTCTCTTTGAAGAGCGACACATTGGCCTGGGTATTTAACCATGCTGTTTGAGGTCCTGGTGCTGGAAGCAGAGAGGAAGAGGGGAGAGAGATGGAAAGAGAGACAGACAGAGAGGGGTACAGGGATAGATGTAAAGAGGAGGGAAGAGACTGAAAAAGACTGCAGTGGCAGAGGCAATAGAGGCTTGAACTCTGATGAAATAATTCAGAATGTTGAGCTGACAGTACAAACAGAGAGATGAGCGGCGGTTACAGAAAAGAAGTCCCATGGTGACCTGTGGTTGTTTCATAACTGACCCCATCATCCCAATACTCCTGATTACAAAGTAAACTTCTTTATCACCTTTTTTTGTCTTTGTCACTGATGTTTTTTTAGTATGCACAACTACACTGTATTTGTCACATGCCTGTGGCAAAAATCCTAAAAGATTTTTGAAGTTATACATATTATAAACCAGAAACTGTCAGAGAAGCACCCCCGATTCTGATCCCTAAAGAACAGAAATCTAGCAATAGGCAAACAAGCTTAATAGGAAAAACATTGTTCTTGGAAAGAATCCTTACCTTTATTCTGAAAGAATTAAATAACCATATCAAATTTCATGTCGGCAGCTTTAGTGTGTTTATACCAGCCAGCTTGCAACAGAAGAACAGAGTAAAAAAACCTCTGCTGGATAGAGCACTTGGCTTTGATACAGTTTCTGGGCTGGAACTTTGGCAGCATGTTAAATATTAATAGCGATTAACCCAGTTCAAGCTCTGCAGCAGAGAGTACAGACAGAGTTCAAAGAGCCTTCTGCTCTGAGCGGGCACTCTCTGCTCTCCAGCAGTTTAGCCCTGCTATCAGGAGGCTGCTGCTATGGCTGCTGCACTGCACCACAGACCAGACTGGCCTCTCTCCCTTCAGTTCAAATGCAGAGAGAGAGAGAGAGAGAGAGAGAGAGAGAGAGAGAGAGAGAGAGAGAGAGAGAGAGAGAGAGAGAGAGAGAGAGAGAGAGAGAGAGAGAGAGAGAGAGAGAGAGAGAGAGAGAGAGAGAGAGAGAGAGATGACAGAATGTAACAGGATGTAAGTTGAGGTTCTAAGAGGCTTTTAAAGACATAATTAGCCAATAATGACAAAGAAGCCTAGTTAACCTCTAAGTCCATCTCTCTTCTGTCTCTGTCTGATACACCCCCCACCCCTCCACACACACACACACACACACACACACACACACACACACACACACACACACACACACACACACACACACACACACACACACACACACACACACACACGCACACACACGCACACACACTCTTTGTCTCCTCCCCTCTTCTCACTTGCTGAACTCTTGATAAACTCAGCCTTTCAGCGCTACAACATTCCTCTCCCTGGCACATTCACCCCCTCTAAATAGGTCTGGACACCTCAGAGATCAAACACAATCTCCATTGTGCTGCAATTACCCAGATCTCTGTCAGTTCCCTTGTCCTTCACCCCCACCTAAACACTTTCTCTCTCTCTCTCTCTCTCTCTCTCTCTCTCTCTCTCTCTCTCTCTCTCTCTCTCTCTCTCTCTCTCTCTCTCTGTCTCTCTCTCCTTCTTAGGCTCTCCACTCACCCCTACATCGCTCCTCTATCTCTCTCACCCTCTGGAGATGATGGTTCTGATGCAACGGACCTCAACAAAAGCAGGCTTTATTTACAGAGGAGGGCTTTGGTGAGGAGTACAGGGCAAGGGGAGCACTGTCAGAGGGGAAGTGTTGGCAAGATACTTAGCAGAGCTCTAAGAACCAGTACTGTGTACATTCGTTAACATGTGATCCTGTGACCTTTTCTGCTCAATTGCATCAATTTGGAGTATGTTAACTCTTCACTGAGGAGGTCAAAATGCCACAGATGCTGGGAGCTTTTTATTCATGGATAAATGTGCAGTCAACAAGTGGTTGAATCAAAGTTTAATAAAAAAAAAGTACAATAACTCCACTGTGGTTTTAAATGTGCAGATTAAGACTGTAGATGTTTTTCCTCTCCTGATATTATAGTTTGCTGGTTCCCACTGGTGTTCTACTCTTGTTTCATTGCAGCTGATGAACACTTTGGGTGTATTTCATAAAATAATTTTGCATTGTGAATAATCTCAGAACAAACAGAAGGTTACAATCCCCTCTCTGTGGCTTGACTGATAAGTCTAAAGCAGCGAGGACAGCGGTGGGAATGTTCAGTCACAGTGTCTGCTCTCCGTCCCCCATGATGCATCTGCCAACAAGTGCAGCCCCACTGTTAGCCATTATGTACCTATTAGCCTTCATTATATTCTGATAGCCCTGCGCCAGTTGGTTTCACTCAGCCTGACAGGCACAGCACTTTGTTTAACCTTTTGACTTCCACAGCAGCCACGCCTCAGACCTGTCCAACAGAGCACAGAGGGAGGAGAAATCTGCAAAGGAATGATAAGGTCAACAAGAAAACAAATACAACATGGAAGCATTTAAGATCTTCAGGAGAAACACAGCAACGTCTTCTTTGGTAAAGAGTTGCACTGGCATGCTAAAAGATGAATGCTTGTATTTAGATTTATCCTATAAAAGTTTTAAAAAGAAGAAAAAAACTACAGAAGCCACTAGCAGAATAAAATCCACTTATCTTCCACTAAACTCTTGTATGTCGGCTGAGTGACACAACATGGACACTTACACTTAGCGTTCTCTTACAAACATCCCCCATGAGTCTTCACAGATCTGCCTGCCAGACAGTTTCAATTTGCAGCTCTTCCTGGTCCCTGGTCTATAGATGTGAGGAGTTGTGTGAGACAGGATGAGGAGGGAGAGTGGCTGGGATAACATGAAGCCACATGGAGCTCAGCTTCTCTGTCCCCGCCTTGCTGCTAATCTCTCTGGAGAGTCAGAGGTGGCCATGTTGGGTCAAAACCTCTACATCAAGGGCTGCAGGCCTGGACAGCTGACCTTGGTCTGGGAGATGGGAGGTGACAAGAGAGGTGGGAGTTGGGAGTGTGTTTGTTGGGTTATAGAGGGCAAGCAAAAGGGGAAATGTGCATGTGTGTGTGTGTGTGTGTGTGTGTGTGTGTGTGTGTGTGTATTTCAGTTGAGAGAGGGAAACAATAGTCACATATGTAAGTGTTTCAGTGTGTTTGTGCTTTATCTGTAAATGCATATGGTGACAAACTGGACCTCCCGTGGCAAGATCTGTGCAGCACAGAGGAGTTATGCAAAGAATAACCAGCTTCTGCAACTGCATACGCTGGTGTGTGTGTGTGTGTGTGTGTGTGTGTGTGTGTGTGTGTGTGTGTGTGTGTGTGTGTGTGTGTGTGTGTGTGTGTGTGTCCTTACAGCAGTTTGACCTGTGATAAGCACAGTAGAAAGGACCGGACCCCCTTTCAGTGACAACTAGAAGGACCAGGCAGAGGGCATCTAGTCATTATATTTCAGTGGGATCTGTGGAGAGAAAAAAATATATACAAAAATACCTAATTTATTGTCAGTTTTACACATTTATGGAAGTAAAAGCCAAAGATACTTTTAATGGTTTTTAAGTGTCTTAATGGTTTTGGCCCGTCTTATCTCTCACAACTGCGTGTACCATAGGAACCCTCGCGGTCTCTGCGCTCCTCTGGCAGCCGTCTCCTTGTCATTCCTAAAGTCAGGACACACACTGACGGTGAGGCGTCTTTTAGTTATTATGACTCTCGCCTCTGGAATGGGCTGCCGGAGGATCTCAGGGTCCCAGAGAACGTTCATGTTTTTAAGATCAGGCTCAAGACCCACCTTTTTAGTTTAGCTTTGAACTGATGACTATTCATTGTATTGCTTGTTTTACTTATTTATATATTTTTAATTACTGTTGTGTTACACATTTATGTTGTATTATTTGTATATTTACATTTTACTGGATATTTTACATCATACATTTTAGATATTTTCCATAGTAGCTCTTGTTATTTTACATGTTACGTATTTTAATCCTTCCAGTGTTTCCTCTGTGGAGCTCTCTGCCTCGGGACTGGTGGTTGGTGGTGGCGGCTGGGGCGCTCCTAGGGTAGTGCCCAGGTAGTGGTGGGGGTTGCCACCCTCCCTTCCAGGGCACCCTGGATTGGTGTCTTGGCTGCTGCCGTCGATCTGCTGCTGTCGAGGCAGATGGTTCCCTTGATGGCGTGTCTTTCATTACCTGTCCAATCTGAGCTCGGCCTAGCGTTTACTGTGGTCTTTTAATGTGTTATGTGGACGTGTGTGTGTGTGTGTGTGTGTGTGTGTGTGTGTGTGTGTGTGTGTGTGTGTGTGTGTGTGTGTGTGTGTGTGTGTGTGCCTGGGAATGGTTTGTGGATTGGGGGTGAAACTGTCACAATTGTTTTAAGTGTGGGAAAGGGAGGGGAGTGGGAAAGGGAGGGAATGTGGGTTATATGGGTCATTTTAATCTGTTAAGCACTTTGTGTTGCATCCTATGCATGAAAAGTGCTATATCAATAAAGTTTGATTTGATTTGATGTGATTTGATTTGAAAGTAGGACCTTGCAACTGATACGAGCAAATGTTTTTAAGACCTAGTTTGTGTTACGTCAAAAACTTGTCGATATCCTAATCATCTTTTCCTCACCGGACAAATTAAAGTGGAATGAATGAATAAATGGACAAATGAATGATTGAATGAAACACATCTATAAAAGAATCACCATTTACAATTCATTGATTTTCAGATGAAAAACAGATTTAGATATTGTTGGTTAGCTCCAGCGACAGCAGAGTGCCAGGTTATGTCTTGCATAAAACAGCCAATAATCTAACTGTAAACAGACAATTAGGCTGCCTGATGTTACAGAAAAAAAATCTGTATGAAAAAATCATCTTAGAAATTAGTTTATTAAGAATCAGAATATTATCATTTATTTTGCATGGCTGAACAGACTGTGAGTGGTTTTGTCATGGCTGTCCTGGACAAGAGGCCACCAAAAATTGCTCATGGCCTTTGACCTTAGATTGATCAATCACCTGCACCTGTTAACCCTTTGTTGAGCACTCTACCCTCCTGAGCCATACTTCAGTCAGAGGCAGGCAATGTCCAAAGAACATGCATCTGTTTTGGATAGTGACTCATTTCTGTTAACGCTGGACCAAACGGATAGTACACATCTGTAAACGGCAAAAGGTTTGCTTGCACTTCGCAACTTTGTAAATTCCTCTATTTTCCCATTAGAATAGAACAGAATGGTCTTTTATTCTCATTGTACCCAAAGTTACAACGACAGTGAGGGTGCTCCTCCTGAGCTGCCATGCAGCGCAAATAGTTGCAACATAATGACATAGCAAAAAATGGTAAAAAATGAAAACGCATTAAATTAGTGCAAAACACTGCACAGTGTTGCTGCAAAAGCAGGTAAAACAAGCAAACAATGCAAAATATAAAATAAAATATATACTATAAAATAGGTGCAACCAGTAAACAACAAAGGCTAAAACAAGAAGGTGCAAACTGAACACAAATATGGCAGCACACCTGTTAGGGTATGTCAGGATCTTAAAGTGTTCAATCAGCCCAAATTACAATGCTCAAGTGTGTGAAGGACAGATGATTACATGTTGGTTTTATACATGCAAGATGTGTGTGAACAGAACCACAAACAGATACATACAGCGTCACTAGCCTTTAATCCTTCCCATTTAGTCAGCAGGAGACTTTGTGCAAGGTTCCTGCCCTTTGTATCGATCACATTGAACATGAGGAGTACCTCCATGCAAAGGCCCATCCGCAGAGAGGAGATGCCTGAGGAGGATGAAAGGTCAGTGGGAGCAAGAAATAATTTGGCAGAGGACACGCTGGTGCACAGTGACGCAACAGCAAAAACTGAGTGTGTTGCAGGGTTACAAAAGAGAAAATAAAAGGGAAAAGAAGCACACAAAAAGGTGGCAGAAACCACAACAAATCCTGTTTTGTCGTGTGTAAATGAATCAAACACCAAGGAGGTCAGGACATCTTCACCTCAGCAGCAACCCTCACTGAGCTGACGAATCAAATAAGATTGAGAATAGTCCACGTGAAGCATCGGTATTAATCTGATGATCTGTGACTGGGAGGTGACACAAGTGACAAGTGCTCTGACATGGACCGTGAACTCATCAAGTGTCACGTTTACTTCATCCCGCAGTTTCAGGTGCTTTAAGGTGAAATGGATCAGCCATCCCTTTTATTACGGAAACGACACTGCACTCATACATGCTTTGTTTGGATGGCATTCGTCAACAAATCTGTTTTATCTTTTTATAAACCGCAGAACCAGCCTTGGTAGTCTGATATTCTTTTACATTTTTAAATGTTTATAATTTCTGTCAGTTGAATTTATTTATTTTTATTTTATTATTGCAGGTATCTTTTAATGCTCACTGGCTAGGTCAAGCTGGCCAATTTACTATACTTACTATTTAATATTCTCTACTAAGCCAATTTCCTTGCAGCAACTCAATCCATTTAAGCCTTGTGACATGGTTAATGTGACTTCCTGAAGTTCAAAGTGAGCATCAGAATTGGGAATCCATCCATCCATCCATTTTCATCCATTTATGCAGGGTCAGGTCAAGGGGCAGCAGCCTAGGCAGCGAGGCCCAGACCTCCCTCTCCCCAGCCACTTTGTCCATCTCCTTTGGGGGAACCCCAAGGTGTTACCAGGCCAGATGAGAGTCTCTCCAGCATGTCCTGGGTCTTCCCTTGGGTCTCCTCTCTGTTGGATGTGTCTGGAAAAGCTCACCTGGGAGACGTCCAGGCGGCATCCCAACCAGATGCTCGAGCCACATCAACTGGCTCCTTTCAATATAAAGGAGCAGCAGATCTACTCTGAGCCCCTCTCGGATGACTGAGATTCTCACCCTATCTCTAAGGGAGGGCCCTGAGACACCCTGCACAGAAAACTCATTTTGGCCGTTTGTATCTGCGATCTCATTCTTTCGGTCACTACCCAAAGCTCGTGAGGTGACGGTTGGAATGTAGATCAACCAGTAAATTGAGAGCTTTGCATTCTGGCTCAGCTCTCTCTTCAACACAAAAAAACCAGTACAATGCCTGCATTACTGCAGATGCAGCACCAATCCATCTATCGATCTCCTGCTCCATTTTTGTCCCACTCGTGAACAAGACACTTAAACTTCTCCACTTGAGGCAGGACTTCATCCCTGACCTGGGGAAGGCATTCTACCCTTTTCTGACTCCAGATATGATCTCGGATTTGGTTTGAGCTTGTTCAATACTCTGCTGCCAGATTTCTGATGGCCTTGAAGGTGGGATCACACTACCCGTGAGCCAACTTTTCGGCACTGGCTCGCGGTGTATTATCAAGCAAGATTTTTGATTCTTCTTTATGTGTCTAGGGCTCTGCAGAGTTGTGCTCTGCCATATTTGGCTGCATTATGACACAGGCCTGTCCCCGCTCTGGCCCTTCACTCTGCTGGGCAGGAGTTGCTTTAAACTGAGATTGAGGTAGGACCAACCCTAACCCCAACCTAACCTTCTGGAATGAGCTCCCTCTGGCTGTAAAGCAGGCTCCATCACTTTAGGTTATTTAAGTCTTACTTGAAAACCCATTTTTACTTGTTAGCTTTCCCCAACATGATCGTTGGCACCGGCTTGGCTCAACACATTGAATCCAGTCCAAAACCTTTGGGATGAGGTGGAACAGGAGATCCTCATTATGGCTGTAAGTGTGTGATGCTTTCATGTCAATATGGACCAGAACCTCTAAAGGATGCTTCTGGATGAAACTATGCCGCAAAGAATGGAGGCATCTGGATGTCCCAAAAAGTCGTAATCCTGTAATCCTGAAACTGGTCACAAGTAACAGACACAAAACATCAAAATGAAACCAGTGCATCCAAAGCCCACCTTATATTTTTCAGTGACTGATATATTAGGTTGCGGTGTAATGCTAAGCACTTCAGATCGTGCCCCAGGAGGTTGATAAGCAGATTATGCCTGATTAAATTCATATTAGTGGAATTTAAGCAGAAGACCTGCAAGGACGAACACACTCAATAGTGCACCCATAGTTCGCTTCTCGTCGCCCCCTCACCCCTAAATTCAATCCTCTGCATGTTTATGACTCACCCTGGCATCTGTCCAGATGCCATCAGCAAGTTCATCACTTACTTCACCAGTATACAACATGACAAACGCTAACACATAAACACGACATGTGATTATGTGCTTTGACCTCAGGGAGTAGTAGCTTTCAACTGTTGTTAAGTTTAAGTCGTCAGTATTAAACAAAGCAAAAAAAGACTGTATGTGTTCAGAAGTGTGTCATCCCTGAGGTATTTACTACACCCACTCTCAATGTAATTTTTAAAGGGAGGGTTTTTGATCTGCCTTTTCCCTGATTTAGAAGAAATGGCAGTTGTATGTTATTTTGTTTTTCTGAAGTTGCAGGACAGTAAATTACAATTCTTTTACTGGCTGCTTGCCTGACAGGGAAACTGATTCCACATTAGCATTAAATGTGACACAGAGCCAGAATGCATGAGCAAATCAAAGCTCCAACTTAAAAGAAGGCTTAAAAACGACAGCGTTCACTTGTGCTATGTATCAGCATCCTCATCCTCCTCAGCCGGTAGGCTGTGTCCTGCCATAAAAGAGGGCATGTCCACACGTCTTGTCTTTCACTGGGGGTGGAGACATCTCATTGTGCCAAACCATGAGAGCTCTTGGAAGATGCTGTTCCCATATCT